TGAGATGCTCGGGGAAGCGACGCGTGAAAAAGGAAGCGCAACCACGAAGGGATTCGAACCCTCAATCTTCTGATCCGAAGTCAGACGCCTTATCCATTAGGCCACGTGGTCCCACGGCTCCAGGGTGTGGTGAAATATTACAAGTGCATGAGAATCCGGTCTCTTCGCCCGGCTCATTTCTGTATTATCTGGCGCCACGACTACACCTCACTTCTGCCATCTAACTCTCGGGGGAGACGGTGTCGCGGATGCTCACCAACATTACGCGCACGCCGCGTAAGGCGAAATGGGAATCCCGATTTTCTCCACCTCCTGCCTTTCACTTTGACACCAAATTTCCTTACTGAACGGTATTTTACCCCTGTGCTGCGAGGACTCAGCAGGCTGCACGGGGCGGTAAAGAAACAGGAGGAACATATCCAGTGCCCCTGGATGGTCGTGGCCGGCGCGCGAGGGGGCGGTCGGAAAAATGCACGCAACGGAGCAGCCACTGGTCGTCCCCCGGTTGTCCCCAGACACCCCAGTCGCACCGGGCGCACCTGGAGCTCCTGCTAGTGATGGTGCCCACTGGGGCCCTCCCCGTGGGGCTGGGAGGCTAATGGGGTGGGGGAGCCCGGGGTTTGAATCCAGCCCTAGCGGGACTGGGGTCTCTTGGAGGGGCCCTTTTGGTTTCTATGGAACCAACTTTGTCAGCACATCCAGACTCCGGACCCCCCCCCACCCAAAAGATTATTATCTAAAATACACAGATTTACTACAAATCAATGAGAATAATGTCAGTAACTAATGGAAGAATTAGCAAAATAAGCACTTCAAAGAATAAGAGAATTGCATGGCCAACAGACATATAAAAAGATATTCAAAATTATTTGTAATCATGGACAAGACTATTAAATGACAACTACTGTTTTGTACTCACTAACCTGGCTCAAATGAAAGAATCAAGTGTTGACAAAAATGTGGAACAACTACAGCTCCTTCTACACAGTAGGTTTTATGGATCTGTTGATAGAACGCCTAGAAAACAATCTTTGAACCAGTAAACAAACAAACAAAAATTTTTTTCTTTTTCTTTTTTTGCCTAATCATAATGAAATCTAACTGTTGGGAACCTTCACAGTAGTCTATCCTGGGAAGTACCAGAAGGCTCATGTTAACATTTCCTGGTATGCACACTGTATTGCAGTAAAGCTGTTGAAAAAGAATGTACAGATAACAATAATACAAACCGGGAAGGGAGAAAAGACAGATATTCCAGATTTTTTTTTTAATTGAGGTAAAGCAATTCAGACTTCTGGTACTGTGTCATTTGCAAGAAATACAAGGCAGGCATCTAATTCAAGTAGCCAAGAAAGCATCATACCAAAAATCTTGCCCAGATGACTCTAATTCTTTTCTTAGATATTCAACATGTGATATTTCTTATAGGGAAAAAAATGGAATTTCTTTCAAGCTGTATTCTTTCTGTCACTCAGTTTATTTTCTCCCAAATAACTTTTAAGTATTTTAGAAATATAAAACCACTAAATTGCTTTTCAGTAACAATGGCAAGCACCATACTTTATTGAATCAATACAACAAATGGCAAAGATAAAAAATGTGAGTCTCATTTCAGATAGGCACATAAGATGGAGACAGGTGGAATTACACACTGTCTCCTAAATCTACCTACCTTCAGCTTGTTTTGGAAAAAAAAACCTGTAAGATTTAATTACAACAATAAAACATAATCCTACTGGGACTTCAGAACCGAAGGTCCAAATATTTCCTCCACTTTCCAAGGTTTTCAGAATCTACTCTTTTGAACTTCTATCAACCGGCTAAATTATCAGTGACATTTTGTATTGCTAAATCTTTCCCTTCTTCACTTTCAATATCACATTTCTTTGAGAAGAAACATTTGTGGAAGTTGCTTCCCTGTGTAGGAAGACTCATTTCTTAAGAACCCTCAAAGAACCTGCCTTCTGCTAATAATCTGTTTTCAGTAATTGTGGGACACAGACTAGAAAGCAGGTGTGTGAGGCATTTTTTCTAAGTCATCTCAAAATAATAAAGGTTATGAAATCCACTTGAGAAGTCAATCATACTTAATTCTGTCCCAGAGAAGCCTAAAGACAATCAGCTCAGGCAAAGTCTACAGACCTTTACCTGACATGAACTTACCACTATGGCCTCACTCCAGCCCCACTCCCACCATTCTGAAATCTGAACTTGAGCCCAAAGCCGTAACAGCATTACAAGACAAAGGTTCCCCTTCCCACCGCACGGTGTCTAAACACGCACCTACCAAATGAACGGACAACCTTACCGCTCGGGATCGCCTGACAAGTGTAATGCCTATGGACTCCTCTGCTTTCCAAGATTCTAATTCCACTGCTTGATTCACTTCCCTTTGCTGACCTAGTCTGCTGTTTCAGAGAATCACTGAAGTCCTCCTACCATCTTATTATCCTAATGAAATACAATAATAAAACAGTGAGATACAAAATACAAGACCAAATGTTTTAATATTAGAATCAACCTATTGAAAATTACATTTAAATAAATATAACAAACGTGATAAATAAAACAGGACAATAAAACTGTACACATAACTGAAAGTGTACATGTCGGCAATTTAGAGAATTGCTATTTTAATCACAACTAGCCTACTTCCATAAGGCCTATATATATAT